GGAAGAGAAACGGCCTTTGGGGATATTATTTAGAGGAGACTTCAGACTTTGATTTCCCAGAGAGAAGATGGCAAATCAGCCAATGTGACTCCTCGGTTCTTGAGAAAGAGGCAAACCACATTTTCCTAAAGTTTCCTGTAGCCGAAGCCGTTGAACTGACTCTACTACAGTACAAAAAGAGTAAGGCAGGAAAATGGGGAGGTCAGCACAAAAAGCAAGGCTGGAAACCCCATGACTCCACGCTGAACGGCTGAACGTTTCTGAGTCGCTGCCTCAGAAGAACGAGAATCCCCCTCGGCATCACATGCCTTTGCTCGGTCCCACAGGAAGGAGAAGGCTCTAATCAGCTTCCCGAGCCCCGCGCGGAAAAAAAATCACACTGGGTGCAAAAGTCGTTGCGCACGTAGTAATCGTGTGCCCTATGTATTGACACAAGCACTGTACATAAAGGAAAAAAAGGAAGCTTGCCCCGGTGATACAAGACAACACAGGGAGGCTGGCAGAAAGCAAACAGGCTGCGCTGTTGTTCTTTATGCCACGAATTAAAACCTGAGTTAGGTGAGGTGCGTGCCCCGGCCGGGAGCAGAGGCCGGTGGGTCAGGGGCAGCGCTGGCCTGAGCCCGGCACCGGCAGCCGGCGGGCGAGGTGGGAAGGAGCCACAGCGGTAGCTGGAGCTGTGGGAGCAATGGGAAATCCGAATTAAGCCTAAGACTGATGGACAGCACAAATGGGGCCGGGCAGAGACCGGGAAGGAAAAGCGGAGCTAAGGGAGGAGGAAGACTGCTTTGACAAGCTACACCTGAGACTGCATTTCAGGATGCTGTATGCTGCCACCTGCACAGGTTCTCCTGCAGAAATAACTCACGATTTTAGCTTGCCTAGCTGAAGATTTACTCTCTTTTTCAGTGTGAATTTGCTTTGTTTCTGCAATGTAACTGCCCTTCCCTCTCCCCACAGCCCTCTCTCTCTCTCTCTCTCTCAAATTTAGAAGATTTCAAAATAAATAACCTACTCCTTGGAAACAGAAATTCATTGTTGCGTTCTGCACACATAGCGGGGAAAACAGACCTTTAAATTTCCCCAATTGTTTGGAGATTTGGTGTGGAAACACAGGAACACCCATTTTCTCCTCTCCCATCCGCTCCTCAGCTAACCTGTGGAGCTCGCTGCCGTGACACGTCGTCAAAAGCGAGCAATTGCCAGGATTCAGAATTGAACTGAATACGCAAATGAACACGCGCGCACACACACGCGTGCCAATATATATTTGCATACATATTTATATATAAACAGTAACTATTTTTAAAAAGCACAATAACAACATCAAAGAAACCTCTGGAACAACAGCACCCTTCGTTTGCCGTAGACGGGCCTTTGTTCGCCACAGACAGACCGGACTCTGCCTGGTCTGCCATAGGCTTCTCCTGTGGCCTGTGTCAGCTCGAACCCCGAGCAACATTGGTGGGGGTGCTAGAAACACAGTAGATGGCAACCACCACCCAATGGTTAGTGGAGGAGGAGAAGAGGAATAAGTAAACACAAGCAAAGTATGCAAGTCGCTTTATTGAAAGCATACCCATCGGGCCGCTTCTGCTACCTACAGCAGCCACTAAATTCCCTCTGTCCTAATACACTGGAAGTGCCAGGATGCATTATTCAGCACATGAGTAATTCACCACATTCTTTCGGATAATAATCAGTTGTTGAGCTGGACTCTCTTTCAAGAAGGTCAACAGCAACACCACTGTTGTGGTTGTAGAGCATGGTTGTAGAGCATGGCAGAGCCTCGTGGCACCGTACCAACCAGATTAAAACAAGGATCCGTGCAAGGATCCCGCGTAATGAAGGCCACAAGGTTCCCATGTGGGCATAGAGGCACTTCTGTGGAGGATCAGGCCCTAAACTCACATTGAAAACCACAGGAAGGAACTCGGCACCCAGTCAAGAAGAGGACTGGGTGTTCACGTGGCCACCAGAAAAGCCAGTTGGCCAACTGGAGTTTCCCTCTTGGTGTGGAATGATAATTCAGGTGCTGAAGGATAATTGGAGAGTTGAATTTGAGGGTGGCCTCAGTACCTTGGGGGACTCTGCGCCAACTGCTTCAAATGAACCGTGCGGGGGCTACGGTGATGCTACTTTTTCTTGCAGGTTTTGAGATCAACCGCGCTGTTGAACCACTGTATTAATACCGTGCGTTGTGGATGCAGTGCTTGCCAGCGAAGGAAGCTCCTCTACCTTTGGTTTTGTAATGTATGCTGTGCACGGGTCTGCTGTGCCTGTCTCTGTATTAGGTTAAACGCTGCTGAAGTAGATGGGCCTAATTATGGCCTTTCATTCAAGTTTAATATGAAGCCATTAAGCTGGTTTATGCAACCAGGTAGCTGAGCAATAGAAACATCTACAACAAGTATGAGGCAATGTTGGAGGCTGAAACCGTGCAATCGGCGGGCTTTCGTTGTGAAAAGGCATGGGAAATGCAGAAGCTAGCGCTGCCTTCATCTACGGACTCGAGACAAAACAGGATGAGAGAAGATTCGCTGCGAAAGACCAGAAAGAGCTACCAAACCCATCACTGGTCCGACCCCAGATCAGCCGTGAGTTACACGGGCTGAGCGCAACAGGGAGTCTTGCGGCTCCGAACGCCCCGCGACGCGCTTTTATACACTTCGCCCTCCCCTCAGCAAAACAAGCTCTGGTAGCTCTCTTTCGCAGCGACGGCACACGAACGATTGCCCAATTCGTTGCCAGCTTCCCCTCCGAGCAGAAACGCTCTGAAGAAACTCGGCTTTTTTTCTAATGGCTGGATCAGAAAAGGGTAACGCCGCAGCTACGCTTCTGGGAGTTCTCTCTCCGTATTCTCTGAAACATCGCTCTGATGTTTGCGGTTGTGCAGTTAGGTGAGACGCAGGCAGATTTTCTTGGTAATTAACCAGGTCTTCGTTGACTTTGTTAATGCTATACTAGGTATTTTTTAAAAGGAGGGATTAGCTGATGTGTGGAAGAGGCTAATTAAGAGAGAAAAATCAATTAAAGAAAAATCAAAGTTAGGTTGTAAGGAAAGAACAGAGAAATTCGAGAAAGGATTTAGGAGCCAGAGTTTACAAGACAACAGCTGAATTTTTAATAAATTGATAGTTGATTTAATTGGATGATTATAATTTGGTAGTAAATGATATTTAAACTGACTCTTTTATTGGTTTTAAGACCAATTTCTTTTAAAAAGCTTAGTGTGCCCATTTTCTTCAAGCGCAGAGGAATGGACGAGAAGACAGACGTAACCCCAGATCTGAACGTACACATCCACTCGAATTTTTCAACTGAACCGTACTTCCATCTCCCAAAGGGAAAGTACTGAAAAGGAGACATTGCTTGTGGGGGCCACTGCATAGCGCTGCTATGGGACCTTCCTGTCTTTCTAGGGCATGAAAGGACCTTTTGGGGCAGAAACTTCTTTTGGTCAACGCTGTAGATGAGTGAGAACAGGTTTTACCCATTTTGAAAGTGGGAGAGAATTTGTATACTTCTTCTAAGCACCCAACAGGTACCTTTAATTTAGTGTCACGCTACTGTGGATAGACAATTGCAACCATTTTCAGGCTACTCTAACACTTCCTTTAAAGTTCTGATGGCAGAAAAGCACCATAAAGTACTATTTATCCCTTCACATTTATTATTTTCATCAAGGCAGGATGCAGAAGTGCCAAGTACTTTCCAAAGAGACAATCCCTGCTATGAAGAACAGACATTCTTAGCTTAATATTGCCACGATTTCCAGCTCCCAGTGCAAAAACACAGAACATTCATTGTCAGGAGCTACAGAGAGCACACGCACGCACACACACACATTAGGCACTTTGTTTTATTTTGCAAAAAAAAAAAAAAAGTCTTTATATATAAACCATTTCATTCTCTCTCAAAACATTCTACAACTATACAGCTGTTTGCTCCGTCATTTGCATAGGAAATACCACAATACAAAAATAAGGTAGGGGGGAGGCAAAAGAAGCAAAACAGCAACCAATTTATGCATGTGTTTCCACGTATAAACATTTGAAGCCTTACAAAATTATTTACATCGTTTGTCAACTATTTACATTAAGAGCAACATTTCTAACTATAACAAACAAAACTATAATTTATCAAGTATATGTAAAGTTGTCTTAAAAAAAAAAAGAGTCTATCATATACCACAAATAAATAAAGACAAACAACAGTTTTAACAAAGCTAGGTTTTCCTGCAAGACCCTTTTTTGGTATTTTGATTGTCTATTCTAGCCTTTGGTTGACAGCTTAATATTACGGCTTGTGAAGTCCAGACACTTATTAGGTTTGTTTGGTTTTCTCCTGTTGTCTGGCCAAATCCTACATGGTCTAACCTCATCTTTGGCCCTTCATTTACCATTTCAAGGCTGAACACTATGGATCAAAGTCACTGTTAGCATAAAAGGGCACCACTTCATTGACTTCAGTGGAGTTTCAGCTACTTTTGTCAGCAGTAAATTTTCCCCTGCGTGTGTCAATCTGAACAGTGGATTAACTAAACTGCACTGTAATTTTAAACAAAATTACTGTATCCTTTACCTTCGAGGAAATTACATGCAATATCCACATGAAACTAGATCATACTGGTGCTGAACCAGCTTAACATGTCTGTATATGAAAATTGCATCCTAAATCCTTCTTTTTAAAGTGATACTAAGTTTAGCTTATAGTAAGAGGTTTAACATTCTGTGTTCACTGTAACTATCCCCGTTATTTAAGCTTCCAACATTGACTTTACAGTTCATTCTAAATGTTTTGCCCTTTTAAGCAATTTGAAAACAAAATCCCGCTTTGAATATTCAGTGCACACCGTTTGAGTTAACAGGTACAAAACATCTGAATCCTTAGCCCATTTCTCTTAAGAAAAATGAAGCTAAGTTGGTACTGTTTTGAGAGGTATTTAAACAACTTTTTTTGTAAATGTGCCATGTTATCAAATGTAAAACAACTGCTTTTTTCAGATGATTCTTAGAAAACTTTTGTATTAAACCTAAAAAGCTGATTTGCATATTTACAAAATCTTTGTCATAGCAAACATGCAACATACAGAACAAAATGGTTTGTTCTATGGCTGTTTATGAATTTTTCTATGTACTTTATCTCCACAGAATGACTTAACATTTAAAAAAACCCCACAAGTACTAAATATGTCTGGTAAAAACCTGACCTATTACAATTCATGGCTTTTCCACTGCGTTCATTCATCTGCAGCCTCTCACTAATTCTTTTACTAAACATTGTCACAATAATGACAGTGCTTTGGTCAAAACACCGCAAGAGAAAAAAAAAATGTATAAAGCTGCAATGTGTCAAGACATAATACTTGTAAAGAGATGAAACCTGCTGACTAAAGCCATATACATCATGAGAGCAAACAAACAACCGAACGCTCTGGTTTGTAATACAGTGTTTTCCCTTTTTTCAGCATAAATATACAAAATATACATTTCCAGTTTCTTTTGAGATTCCTTTTAAATGGATAACCCATACTCAAAAATTAAACTAATTTTAGTTGTATGTCGAGAGTCAATAGGAAATTGCATAGATACAAAACAGCCTCAACGACAAGTCCAGCTTTTAGTTCTGATGCCTCTTCATGTGGAGAGCCAGGTGATCGGAGCGGGAGAAGCTGCGATTGCAGACAGCGCACTGGAAGGGCTTTGCCCCCGTGTGCTTCCTGTAGTGGCGCGTTAATTCATCCGAGCGAGCGAATCTCCAGTCGCAGCCTTCCCACGTGCACTTGTACGGTTTCTCACCTGAAACAGAACACAGAGAAAGGAGACTGTCAGCTGTCACTCTTCGGGAGAAAACTGATGTGGTATCACATTGAATGGCACTGCTGTTCAATTTAAAGAAGAAAGAAACGACAAAACAGGAGCTGACGTTTCCCAATTATTCACAGCTCTATTCAGCATGCCCCAGACTAACAGCCTCTTTGTTTTTTCAGCAAATTTTGCTCTTGAATCTGTGATTTGATACCTCAGTAAAACGTAAGAAACTTTCAAACATACGGATTGGAGACAGCTACAGTACAGGAATGCACAGAGATAAAAAAACCTGCATGAGACGGAAATATGCTCCCTTACACTCATCTCAATATGAGAGGGAGTAGTAAAAAAAAGCAGTCTCCGTGACAATCCAGCCTAGTTTCTAACTTATGCTTGCACCTTTTAAAAACGGGTAAATTAAGTTATAGAGGTCTGAAATGGGAAGGAAGATTTCTATAAAGATTCTTTGTAGTGTGCAGATCTGTTCAAGAGCTTCTGATGTGTGAAGAAAGGGGCACAGTGTGTGGCAAACACAAGGGGGATAGTATTTTCTAAAATGTCAGGGGCAATAAAAACTTGCGGTATCCTGGTTTGGGCTAGCTATATATAGGAGAAAGCACCTAAAAGATCAAAGCACCCGTTTTCAGAATGGAATGCCTACAATGAGGTGCTTAAATAGCCATATTTTAGAGATGGCAAGTGCTTGCTGTCTCCATCAGTCTATACTGACGGAGGAGGAGCACGGCGTCTCTGAAACTTGCTGTATTACAGCAGCTCTGAATACAACTTTGAAGTATCCAGCTAGTCTTGAATATACCAGCCCAAGCACCCAAAATGTTTGCATTCATCCATTTCAGAACTACAAATGGGGTATTTTAAGCATGCCTGTAATTTATAGATTTGTTTGTTGAAATGGGGAGAAACATGAAGCCACAAAGCCAAGATGACTTCTGTGTGAAACCAGAACTTTATGCATGTACACACACCTGCTCAGGAGCTGGTATGGACACGATCTCACCATACAAGCAAGCTTCGTATTAATAAAGAGGCTAAGATTACCTATTTATAGGCTATTGGTTGACATTGGTTGACAAAAACACCTTTCAGCTGGGAGAGTTGATCGCTATCTATATCCTTTATATTAACATGACCCATTTGGCAAAAAGAGGAAGAAAACCGAGTTTATCAAAGCACTCGGCAGTAGCTTCATCTGGAGCAGAATCAGACCAACGCTGAGCTTTCCAAAAAGTCCTTTCCAACACATCTTACAGATCTTCTCCCTCTCCATCGGCCTCGGACCTTTACCCTCACAGTCTCAATCCTACAGCGCTGTGGAGTGACTCCTACTTTTCCCTGGTTTACCGTCACACAAGCACGCAGAAGGACAGAAGCCAGTATCCTGCAATCAGACTGTTCTGTACCAGTTATGCAGAGAACACCATTTGAGAAACTCAAAAACATTACTTCAGAGATGCTGATTTATCATGCAGATGAAATTATGAAACTGGTTTTGTCTGGGAGTTTCTACTGCTTCTTCTGATCTAGTAACTTTCCATCTACTACTAAGAGCAGAATCAGCCCTTTGCTCACAATCGGGACATGACTTCATGTTGGCAGCACAGTCACAACCAGAACCAGACCTCTACAAGGAAAACTAACAACCCGGCCAAACAACCACCTCTTTGCATAAATGGTGACTGGGATTTATTGAAATCACAGTGGAAACATATCATCCCTTAAGAAAAACAAACTTAGAGCCTGGCATCACCTCTCACAGAGTTCAAAATTATTTGGTGGATGGCAAATCAGAACACAAATTATTACAAATTTCTATCATAGTTGAATTTACTCTGCCTGATGCTGGTGGAAGACTGGAATGATCTACTATATAGGACTTTTTTTTGCTTCATGCAACATATACTATAGGTTAAAACACAGATTTCATTCAAACCAGTGAGTTTGAATAAAGATAAAGCCAGTTGAGATAACACATTTGGTCTTCACAGCAGAATGACGGAAAGGTCTCTATTCGGTGAGGGATCTTTTGCAGTATATACATCATCTTTAATGTATTTAAACTGGGTTATTAATGCAGTCTGCAAAAGCCTGCATTGTGGATCCACAGGCATAGCACCAGAGGGATCTTCCGTGAACACTTTGTGTTAAAACATACATGCACACATGGAGGTTGCACAAAAGCATTACTCCTGCATTCGAAGCACCTTATCGTAAAGCCAGTGTATTTCTTTCGTTTTCTCCTTTCTTTCCCCTCTTCCCCCATATTAGCTTCAAACTCTTCTTTAAAAACCTTCACTTAAAACTGCCATATTATACTTGATGCTAAACTCCCAGTCTTGCGATCATCCCACTCTAACTGCCCAGAGAGAGCATATATATATGGTCAGGCCTCTATACACTCCAAACACTTGCTTATCCATTTTGCAGAACTACTCGGGCAATGAGAGAAATGGTAAAGAGGTCGGGAAGATAGCACTTGTTGAACAAAAGCCAGACCGAACCAGACCGGAATGGGGACCAGGAGATTAAAATCACAGTTTCCAAATTTGGCGTCGAGGAGGTATGTGAAACTTCGCCATGTGTCACGCTACACTGTACTGGAAAAGCAGTCACAAAGTTGTCCAGTGTAGGTGGTACCTGACCCCATCTGAGTCCAAACAAAACTGCTGCCCCCCACTAAAAGTTTTTCTAACCTGCGAGCAGCATCAGCAGGTGATACGAAGGCTCCTGGCATACGAACCGCCAGCAGTTGGGGCCAGGGTAAACCCTGTGCCTTCCTGGGCGCCACAGCTTCCAAGTCAATGCTGAATCCAATGGCCAGACCCCCACCAAAGTCCAGGGGACCCAGCTTCCCAGAGACACTATCTAGAAACTTACCCCACTGTCATGGCCACAGCCACGAATCCTCCCAGGCAACGGCATTGCTTAGGGGAAAAGCTAGGCAGTGCCCTGCAGAACAGCAGCGCTCCTCCTTGCCGGCCGACTTCTGCAGACCTGAGCTAAACCGAGCAGCGCTCAGGGGATGCGCAGAGGGGAACGAGCTGGTGTCTTACACAGATTGTTTTAACAGTGTTACTTTTATGTACTGGAAATTAAAGCCAGAACACTGCTTTTAACCCCTGCTTTGGCCAACAGTGAGAACTGGAAAATGTATTTTTAGCGCCAATGTAGAGGCCCGGATTATTTTGAATAAATCCTAGGGGTAAAATACTGAATATCTATGTTTGTAATGCTAGTTTCCGTTGGAAAGTTCTATTTAAGAACTGAATCAATTTCAAATGTTTTCCTTTTGGGCAAGGAGGAAGGGGGGCAAGAAAAAGAAGGTGGAGATTATTTTCACTCCTTTAAAGAAAGCAGAAGAACAACTAGCTGGTAGTATTTTCTCTCTCTCAACCTATACACATGGTTTTTGTCATTTAGCAGGAATAAGAATTTGATTTAAGTTCCTGCGGCAAGGGAAAAAGAGCCTCACATTACATATTTTCTGAAGTGATCCTACTTCTTTGCTATGCTGACTTTAAAGCACTGAGAAATCCGGGGTTGAAGATTTATTTTAAAAAAAAGCAGGTATACACAACAAGGGACACGGAACCCTTTATCCACTGTTTTCATTGGCTACATAGTAATGTAAGATTTGTTTACTTTAATGATTGTGCGAAATACAGTAGCTGTAAAGTTTCAGAAATATTTGGTTTTCCTCCAGCAATTTGGGGCTTCTATAGGGTGTTAAACCAAGAATGCCACTGGTCATCAAATACGAAGGCAGTACGGCTCAGTTACTGGAACACGATCGTGGTATCAAACAGATATTTCACTGTAAAAGCAAGAAAACAGCTAACTCCTCCACTTCAGGGGAGCTTCCACGGGATTTGTTAGAATGTCAACACTGTTCAACTAAAACACCATGGAGGAAGCTGGTACCGATCTCCAGCCAAATAGCACACTCCAACCCTTTCTTCCCAAGCCAGAAATATTATACACAGCACTTCTGGGAAACAGAACTGCTTTCCTTTAAATTATACTTCAACAGGATAGGGATTTCATAAGTTTAATTGGATTTCTGCATAACCTCCTTCTAGTATCACTGATTTAAAATATTTTGCTAGGCTTATACATCACAAAATATATTTTTAAGTTCTTGAGCTGTTAATATGTATCCATTCTCCAGTTTAAAAAAAATACGTTTGTGGAGCATGAGAAACAGACTTGTACTTGAGCACAGAAATGTTAAGCCCTAATGTTTAGTTTGGAAGCTCTTTTACAGAAAGCACCTAGCAAGAGATAAGGGAGTTTAACCTGAAAGGAGACTATTTTGCTTCCAATGTGTCTGTCTGTTAAAAAAAAAAATTATTTATAATGCTGTGAGATTGCAAGGATGTCAAAAAGATGTCTGGATACCCACATATAACATGCTAACCTAACCAGCCACTTCAACAAATAAACTACCCCAAGGCAGATCCCATGGTTCGGGAACTTGCCGATACCACAAGAGAATGCTCTGGACCACTGAGGCACACCGCGTTGGCTCTTCTCCCTTTAATTTATCTTCTTGGGATTTAGTTGTTTCAAAATACACTGATTGCTTTCCTAACATTAATTCTAGCCACTGGCAGTGACCGTCGTGTCCATGCTCATTTGGGTAAGGTACAGTGCCACCAGTGGGGGGGTGACGCGCATTTTGAAGACACCCTCTATCTTCAACACGTAGCCTCTGTTCAAGAAAATGTTTCTGTTTAGAATTCTGTTTGGAAAAAATGAGTCACTGAAAACCTTCATCAGTGATGAATTTCCTCACTAACAAGAAAATAAGCTTCCTTACTTCACCAAAGAGTTGTGTGACTTTACTTCTGCAATTCACTGCTAGGATGGCTTTCTTTAAATATAAAGCTGCGAACAGCAAGAGCCGGATTTTCAAACCTAAAGTTAGGTAACTCTATTGGTATGCAGAAATCCAAATACAGGTATTACAC